CGGTTCGGTTCGGTTCGGTTTGCGGTTTGCGGGTAAAAACTGTCCAGGCTGACTCATCCCTATCCTATCCACTAATCCACCCGTGGCTTCCTCAAGTCTTTTCTCTGTTCATCTTCCCGTGCGTGTATCTCTCTCTCCGACCATGCTCCACCGTCCAGCGCCGCCGGCTCACGGCTCATCAGTGCCCAGTGCCGGGCCGCCAGCAGGGAGGGGAGCAAAGCTTTGAAGAGCACCATCCGCTGGGACAAGAGCCAGAAGGGCCAGGCACCTACGCAGTTTGCCGTTGCCGATGACCATCTCGTCCACGACATAGAATTTGCTGTTGTTGTCCTAGTTGTTGTCTCCAAAATTCTCAACTGCTCCACCCAGCCCAGGAGCTCAGAGCTCGGCAAGCAGCAGGGCTGGTCACCTACGGCACGCGTGCGACGCGAGCGGCGGCTCTTGGCGCACGTGCGATGCGAACGGCATCCTTCAGCCCCCACGTTTGGTGATCCGTCCCCGACGCGGTTTCCAGGAGCGACACGAGCGAGCGCCGCGATGGTCGCGAGCCCGACCGAACTTGTGGCTTTCCGAATCTGGGAAGGATCAGCGAGCGCGCGTACGAAGATTTTGTTGGACGAAAGCGGTATCTATTTTTTATGTGGTACGGAGTGTCCGTGGTTGCTACGAGTAAAACATCTCATGACATATAATCCACAAGTAAATATATGTAGAATTCTATATTATCATAAATAATTAACATTAAAATACATAATTCAAACTAATTTATTTGAAATAAAGAAACCAGTATGATGTTGTTAACTTCACCCAGACAGAGGAAAAATAAGCAACAATTCATTGTTTTTCTGTTTGTGAGACTAATATAGCATTGAAGATAATCTCGTACACCTTCATGTTTGTTGGCTGCGTTTTGGTTCCCCGCGTATATGAGTAGGTGTAGCAAGATGTGCTTCCTCACTTCGTAGGTATCCTGCTAGATTTTTATACACATATATAGTTAAAATGTATGTAGGTGAAAAAATGAAAATTATATACAAAGAATAATACTCAAATTATTGCAAATGGATGTTTCTATCCTTTTGCCATTCCACGCACGCATGGCAAGTAGAACATTATAAACCAGATAAGTCACATTATTGCAAATGGCGGACGGATAGGAAGGAGGAGCTGGAGGAAGGGGATGGCCCGGTCCACTCGTCAGCGAGAGGAGAACGGGCTGACAGGTGGGCTCCGGCTGTCAATGACTCAGGGAGAGGGAGGCGGCGGGCTGCTGCTGCTCCTCCTTGGCCTGAGAGGGGAGCGCGTGGCTGAGAGGAGGTTGGGCCGGACTGGGCCAGAGAGGGGGGAGGGAGCTTTTCTTTTTTATTTCTTTTTTCTTTTGTAAATTTATTTGAAAATCAAAATCAAATGCTTTTTGAACCAAATAAATTTTGAAATTATCTTTAAAATGTTTATAAAACTTTGAAGCAGATAAGCAAAGAAGCAGAGAGAATTTGCTTGGTTTGCGTACTCGCGTAATATATATTTTTTCTTTTGATAGCAACCAACGTCATTCACTCATTCGGTAACAATTTTTTTTACCTAAAAAGCTAAATATTAATAAGATAGAAAAACATATTAGAAATACTATAATCAACAGGTTTCAATTATATATAATCTGTACATCCAATCAATAACATGTCAACATGTCATAACTACTTGTCTCTCATTTCATTCCGACTTCCTTTGTTACCTGAAATTCAGATGGATACAAGAAATGTAAGTAATAAAGGACATAAAGGTAAGAATGTAACAGTTGTGCAGAACAGAAGACAATACATTTTCATGGAGTGAGGACCTCTTAGTAGACAATATTTTTCATGTATGTACCACTTATTTTTGTCTTTTTTTTCTTATCCTTCTTATCATTGGGTGGGACAGCAATGATCCTAATGTTTGATCTGGCAGTGGCTCTAGATAGCGCAACATATAGATGACCATGAGAGAACACCGGTTCAGGCAGATACACACCAGAATTGGGGATAGTATGTTCGTGTGTCTTTGTTAGCCGTCATGGCAAAACTGAGTCTAATAGGAAATTGCTTCCTCTTGAACCAGAACAGGTTCCTGCAGGGCTGCAACCACTCCTCACCAATCGGTTGGAGGGAGCTGCGGTGTCCTGGCAGAGGAGAGGGCCGATGAGGCGAGGGCAGGTCGGGGCGGCGGCCAGTCCTCGCCAAGTTCTTTGCAGCCGGGCTGGGCGGGGGTGCTGCTGCTGCTGCTCGCAGGGCGCCGGAGCGATCGAGCTATGCTGGGCGGCGTCGTGGACGAGCTCCGGTAAGGGTGCTGAAGGTCAAGCTGTGGTTGTGCGGGCGGGAGAGAAGCACCTGGGCGTGCGGGCGACCTTCGAGTCGTGCCTTTGCGGTGGTTGCGCGATACAGGGAGTGGGGCGGTGGGTTATCTCGGGGCAGGGGATGATTAGCGCTCGAGGCAGGGGATTAGCGTGCGATGGTTTTTCTTTCTTTCTTTTATCGTGCGGTGGGTTATCTGGGACGGGATTAGCGGTCAAGGCAGGTTATTAGCACGCGAGGGGGCGATTAGGGAACGGTGACGATGACTTACGGATCTTTTTAGTTGTAGAGATAACAGATTTATGTATAGTTTTAGTTATGCTTAATATATTGAATTACCAAAATATTTATTAATGATTATGTTATTTTTTATGAATTTGTTTATCTACTTATGTTATCTATGTGTATTGCGAACAAAGGCTACGCGTGGCTGTCACGTGACTTTGGAAAATGGACGAACGTAGGGAAGAAAAGCTATCACCGACTTTGGAACGAATATTTCAGATGCATAAAAAAAGCAGTTTATGTTAATCAAATCATGTTATATCTAAAGTTGTAAAACAAAAAGATCTATCACACATCTTTTTTTTTATCGGATAAAACTTGGACATACACTCTATACTCACACCACACATCTAATTGAACACACATGTATTTAGGAGTACCATAGCAAAATCCAAGAGCTTATGCCTTCGTATGCAGGGCTCCGCGCCCCCAGCCGCGAGCTCCGTGCGCTCTGGCTGCTCACCCCGGCCGCCTGCCCATCCTCGGCTATGCTCCGATCTGCAGGAAGGAGGAGAAAGAGGAGATGAAGAGCTAACGCACAGGCCCTACTAGGTGGCAGTCTGGAGCTGTACGGAATATACTGACAGGTTAAAAAAAACTAAAGAAGCAGCTCAGTGAAAACAATAGCAAAAGAACCAAAATTCAGTCTGTTCATCAAAACTTGCTATTAGCATGTTATTAGCCAAAATGTCCCCTTGATAACTTTCTCACAGATTAACCAAATCAATACAATAATCTTTGACCACCAAAGACCAGCACATTCGTACAAATCGCACATTAATCAACTCGCATATATTAATCAAAATGTCCCCTTCTAGTAGTGAAACGACGACGTGCATTACTGATTTATTGTCATCACGATTCACGACCCTCCATCTCGTCCCATCTTCTGCCTGCTACTGGTTTCATCGGACGCCTACTGCCACCAATGCCACGCCAATGGAAGGAGCAAGCCACGACAGACAACCACGTCCATATTATCTTCCACATGTGGAGCAACAGGCGTGATTAGTTTGGTGGCAGCCACAGATAAGCGCCCATAAGCTAGTAAGGCACCATGTGATGGTTTATAAACTTCCACTTTTACGATCTATATGCAATGCAACTGAAAGTAACATATATCTATTATCAACTTAGATATAGAGATGTCATCCTATTTTTTTCAATTTTAAATAAAAATTTGGGTCCATGGATTGGCTTGGACTAACAAGCTCCAGAATCTCATCAACAAGATGCAACTCACCCTAGCCCTTCATGGGTTGGAAGCGGATTTGGCTGGTTTTGTAACCCTAGTAGTGTGTACGATTGTTGATCTCGCTTGGCTCAATTTGTACCGGGTTGGTAGTGGTTTCACTAATTATTGGTTTGAGTTGGTCCGGTCCAAGTTGACGAGTTGTACCAGCTTAATAGGTTGGCCACGTTGATTTGCACGAGCGTTTCTTCTATAAACATTAGCAGTGGACTTGAGACACCTAAAAACCACTCAAAACAAGCACCTGGGTCAAAATTGAACAGTTCTGATGGTTAAGATGCCAAAGTAACCTGATTTGGTTTTCGGAGGTTAAAATTAAACAAGCATAAGAGTTGATGGGCCAAAAAGAGATTCAATCCTAGAATTTATGGGTCCTTAAATTTTTCTTGTAATCTCATTTGGGTCTATAAACTCTCATGTGACATATGAGTCCTTCAACTTTTCAAATGGACCATTTGAAGTGTGAATTCAAGTTGATAATTCGACCGAGTAATGTAGAATGAATCACTTAAAAGTTAAAGGACTGAGAAAAAGTTTAGGAGCCTACATTGCAGGACCCTATCAATTCCGGGAGATTTAAAAAAAAACCTCCGAGAAAAAAAAAATTATGCAGTGGAAAACGAGACCTATCAATTCCAGGAGATTTTTAAAAAAAACTCAGGGAAAAAAATTATGCAGTGGAAAACGGACTAGGCCCTGTTTGAATACGAAGTATTTTCGGAGTTTTAGATAAATATCATGGTTTTATGAAATACTTTGATTTTAGAGTGCCACAAAGTATTTGGGTGCAACAAACTTTATGGTTTGAATACCATGATATTGTTGTACCTATAGTCTTTTAGAGTTTTAAAAACACCCCTCTAAACCTCTTTTTTCCAAACCATGATTTTGCACATCAATAGCTCTAGAACTATAATTTGTTATAAGATTTCTTATAATATTACGACGTCCAAGGCCCACCGTTGTTTTCGCTCGGAAATTTGACAGTTTATTATTTTCCGCACACATGTCGTCCGTCCATCTTTGATGGAAAGGCGAGCTTCGCCAGTTTTCCACTCTTCCCCCAAAACCCCAAACTCCTCTGGTCCTCCTTCCTCTCCGCCGCCGCCGCTCCCCGACGCCCGGAGCCGAGCATGCCGGGCGCCTTCCACTCCCTCCTCCCGCTCATACGGAAGCGCAAAGCCAAGCGCGGCCGCAGACGCAGTCACCCAAAGGAGAACCACCTCGCCGCCTCCGCTGGAGACCCGTCCTTCCACCTGAAAAGCTCCACCTCCGCCTCCTCCAGAGACATCGGATGCCTCGTGGAGCCGCTCGGCAACCTCTTCCTCTCTGGCACCCCGCGCGGCAACCTCCGGGACGCGGGGCTGGGCGCGCTCCGGCCGCTCCCGGACGACCTGCTCCTCGACGTCCTGGGCCTGCTCCCGGCGCGCGACCTCGCGGCGCTCTCGGTCGCGTCCAAGGCGCTCTACGTCGTCGCCTCCCACGACCCGCTCTGGCGGGCGCTCGTCCTCGACGAGCTCGGCGGCGCGTTCGACATCGCCGGGTCCTGGCGCGCCACCTACATCGCCGCCGCCTCCCGCGGTGGCCAGGCCTACCTCATCCCCCCGCGCGCTCTGAGAATCAAGGGATTCTAGTTCTACTCCGACTACCTCTTCCAGAGCTGGCTCTGCGCCAACATGGAGATGCGGCACGAGTGGCTCGCGCGGGACAACATCGAGCGCCGCCGCGGCATGTCCGTGGAGCAGTTCGTCGCCGAGGTCGAGGAGCCCAACAGGCCGGTGCTGCTGGAGGGGTGCATCGATACCTGGCCGGCGTTACAGAAATGGAGCAGAGACTACTTGCTGGAGATCTCGGCGGGTAAGGAGTTCGCGGTCGGGCCAGTGAGCATGCCATTGGATAGGTACTTCCGTTACGCTGACAATGTCCAGGAGGAGAGGCCATTGTATCTGTTTGATGCGAAGTTTGCTGAGAAAGTACCAGAGATGGGGAGGGACTATGAGGTTCCGGAGTACTTCAGGGAGGACCTGTTTAGTGTTCTTGGGAAGGAGAGGCCGGATTACAGATGGGTTATCATTGGACCAGCAGGGTCAGGCTCATCGTTCCATGTCGATCCCAACTCGACATCGGCATGGAATGCTATCATCAAGGGGGCTAAGAAGTGGGTGATGTTCCCACCAGAGGTTGTGCCGCCTGGTGTCCACCCTAGTGCTGATGCAGCAGAGGTCACCAGCCCTGTGTCTATCATGGAGTGGTTCATGAACTTCTACGGGGCTTGTAAGACCTGGGAAAAGAGGCCTATTGAGTGTGTGTGCCGAGCTGGGGAGGTGGTTTTTGTGCCTAATGGATGGTGGCATTTGGTGATCAATCTTGAAGAGTCATTTGCCATTACCCAGAATTATGTGAGCAGGTTAGATTTCACAGCGCAAACAATTTCATTGTTTTTTCTGTAATCATGTCATATGTGTTGTCTTTCACTTAAGCAATCACCTTAAAGAATTCGTCTTTTGTCTTTTCTTATCTACAAATAGTTGCGCTCTTCAATAGGCTTTTTTTGTCAAGCCATTTCACAAACTATGCTTAGCTTGCTTGCATGGTCAGAACTCAGAAAGGATTCCATTACTCGGTACAAATCCAAATGACAGCACTGTTTGATCATGTATGATTCATGTTAGTATATTTATCTTACTTTAGCGTCCAAAGTGTAGGTCTCCCAGTCAATGTAAAACTTACGAGTTGTACCCAAATTAAGAAAATTTGTTTACCCAAAATGGTAACATGATCAATATATGAATGAATGAGAATTGTCCTTTGGGGACAACATTACCTTAGAACATAAATTCTCTGCTTTCTACTTGATGCTGTCCTCCATTCATCTTTGAATTGTTGTTTAGGAATTAGGATTCTGACTAGATATGGAAGAATGATAAAGCTGGGTTCTTTGTGTAGGGGTTCAATCTGGACATTCGCAATTCAACTAAGGTTGTCCAGTTAGCCTTGTTAGCTGCTTGGTATGCAGTTGTCTGTTCTGTGAACTTGATGCTATCTGGTCATCTGATGCTGCCTATCCTGGTTATTTTGGAAGTACATACGACTTTTTTCCTCTAGATTTTCGCATGAATATAGCAGAGAATTCTCAACTATAATTTGCAACCATTGCATGGACGTTTTTCAGAGCTATGCAACTTATTTGAGAACTTTTGGTCTATTTTCTCAAAATATTTAGCTTATGTATGATGTGTTGCCTCTTTCTTTTCCTGCAAAACATGCAGGAGGAATTTGTTGAATGTTCTTGATTTCCTCAAGAAGCCCAACGCAAGTGAACTTGTCTCCAGGACTAAGGACAGAGTGAATCTGCATGACAACTTCCGGGGTGCCATCGAGGCAGCTCACCCTGGCATGATCAAGCAGCTTGAGCTTGAGGCTCAGCAGAAGGCCGCTGCTCGGAAGAAGAAAGCGTCGTTCTGGGATTCTGCTGCCGATGCCAAAAGTGGAGGATTCAAGTTCTCCTCCTGAGTTTCACAACGGCAAGGTCTCTGATCTTCATGTTTGATTCTCTGATCTTCATGTTTGAGTGGATCCATTTTTTTTTTGTAAGAGTTAAGCAATTTTCTATGCCCATTTTTCCTTGAGCAGTCTGCAGACCTTCTTGGTGGACAATGATCATGAGCCCTCCGATTGGCATGGCAGTCACCGGGAATCTAGCTAACCGATTATCCGATTTAATTTGTACCATGAGCTGCCACATTATGCCATCCAAATTTTTGACACAATTTAGTGCAAGAACGATTGTATTGTTATTGTGCCATGCAACTTGTATCGAGAATATATATATTTTTAAAGAATTTAGCTGAGAGAAGGGCGGGCCTGGTACAAGCAGTAGAGTCTTACCGCCTGTGATCGGAAGGTCCCGGGTTCGAGTCGCGGTCTCCTCGCATTACACAGGCGAGGGTAAGGCTTGCTACTAACACCCTTCCTCAGACCCCGCACAGAGTAGGAGCTTTCTGCACTGGGTACCCCCAAAGAATTTAGCTGAGAACAATTGCACTGTTTGGCATACCATGTAACTTGTATCTGAGTGATGCAATATTGCATTTGATAAGCATTTGCCTTCTATAGGCGCAGAAGCGCACCGTTACCGTGTCAACTACACGCAGAGCTTCAGACACTTTGGTTAACATATTGTGCTGGACTCTGAATATATAACCAAATACTATGGGGGTGTTTGGGACTGCTCCACAAACTCTGCTCCACAAACTCCACCGTAGAGCAGCTCCACAAAAAACTGGAGTTTGTGGAGTACCTCTTTAGGTGCTCTCACAACTCCACCCTTTTTCCTGGAGCAGAGTGCGTGGAGCTGAAACCGTTTGGCTAAAAAATATGGAGCGGAGCTGAAAAATGTGGAGCGGAGCACTCCCAAACACGCCCTATATAAACCCAGCGCAATTAACCGCAGGTGCTTATGATGGGCGATCACATACTGCTAATGCTAGACAAACTAAGGGTAGACCATAGTGCACACTTGGTTGCTAGGCACCTTTGTCGGGCAGAGCATTGAATCTGACTGAGACTATTTCGACCCACCCCACAGCTTTGGGTGGCGGAAGCATCCGTCCGGCAAAACCACATTTGACGCTTTTGAATATTCAGAGTTGAAGGATGCTTTTGTATATTCAGAGAGTTGAAGGGGGTCCCAAAACAGAACTTTCAAAGTCCTAGGTAACATGATTTACATTGCTCCCAAAAGTACAGCTCTGCTTATCGTGGTAATCAGCTGAGGTACACAACAGACAAAAGCTGAGGTACCCCTAATTATAGAATTTGAAATCTGAAACCTGTACACCTATTCATATTTCATTTTTTTTCTCTCCTTTTGAGAGTTAAGAGAAATCGCTGCTGATAACAAAGGCTGCAGCTCCAGATCATCATAACAAGTGCAGAATCCTAACTCTAGTGAAATATCAGCCTTCTGAAACAAGATGAAGTCCATTTTCCACTGTGATAGTCCTATGCAAGTGTTCTGAACCATCTGAGTAGCCCAAGAAGACCAGCATCTAGAACTGGAGATTTTTGCTCTAGTCCTGGAAGAAGGGTAAAGCAGTAAAAAGAAACTGTGAGTTGCAAACCATTCTCGTAGCACTGTCCATCAAGAGCTCTACTCTAAGACCTAGCATCAAACATGTGACTAATTCTGTCTTAGTGAAACATCAAGCTATCCCTGTTCAGGACAGACACAGTAAAAATTGAACTTACCAATATCTGCAGCAACTCGGTGAGCACACATGATCCCTGAGAATGCTACAGCTATGACACCTTGCCCAGGAAAACAGCTGTCACCAACACAGTAAAGGCCATCTATTGACTGTAAATTGAGAACCCCAGTTTCAGTTCGACAAATCTTATAACATTGTGAGGACATCGAGTACATCAAGTCACCCAAAGGGAGATGATTTCTGATACTTACAGTAGTATTGAAAGGCATAGCCATTAAGCCCTTCGGTTTACCCCGTGGCATTGGTCCATATGTACCATCATTTCGAGCAAGAAATCTTCGGTGAGTTTTTGGTGAGCCTACCTGATGAAACAAAACAAGTTTTGCATTAGAAGAGTTACTGGTAGCAGAAGTCAGAACAGTTCCAGTTAAGTTTACTGCATATAACCAAAGCACGTGTGACTAGGCTACAAAAGTTTCTGCGTTATTATATGTTGCTAGACATGTGATTCATAGAAGTCAATATTTTTTAACTCACAACTCAACTCACTTTGACAATTGCCCATAAAGAAGCTGCGCCCTAAAGGAAGGTCTGGAAACCACACTACAATTACTTGATATGGATCATTTGAAAGAGTTTGTTCAAGAGACTTGTGTCAGTGGTCATTACTCTCCTCAAGGGATAACCACATACTGGAAAGATATTGCTGTGGGCAAAGTCATCAAAAATTGACAAATATAACAGATGGACTTTTCTGATCCATAATCCATAATCATATACATATTCAAGCATATGATAATCTTCCCTTCACCATCAACTCTTAATAGTTGCTAGAAGGCAGTTTAAAGTTTATACAAGAATTAATAAAAATCAAACTGCGGAACATGTATCAATAGAATCACATGGAAAACAAGAAGGTACCTCTTTGAGGACTATTGAATCTTGAAGACCAGGAAACAACTTCTTTTCAAGCCTTCTTATAATCTCACTGGTCACCGCCTCTTTTTTCTCTTCATACTCCTTCCTAGAAAGACCCTGTCAATGATGAAAACAAACAGCGCTAAAATACATGGTATCTCAATATGAATGAAATTTGCATTTCAGCTAGAACACTGTCCTTACCTCCCAGTCTTCTATGCCTGCGGTAGTAAATACATGAAGTATATGATGTCCTTCAGGAGCTAATGATGGATCAAGAACTGTAGGGATACTTAAAAATATGCTTCCATAAGACTTTTCCAAATTATTCCAATTATCCTGCCAATTACAGACTCAAACAGGTCATACAAAGAAAATGTTACTGATGTTAAACTCTCAACAATATGGCATTCCCAGTGAACACAATGCATACCTCAAGTACAAAATGGTGGCAGTCAGTGCCAGCAGGCAGAACTGACGCTTTGACACCCATATGAATTGAAAGGAATGATGGTGCCTTAACATAATTCTTTTGAAAGTTTTTCTCCTCTTCTGGAAGTTCTTTTTCTTTCAAGAGTTTTCCTGTACATTAAAAAAAATGAAACTGAACGAGCTAGTTTTTCCTCTTTTGAAAGTTCCAATCGAAGATATATTAGAATTACCAAATGTGTCCCATCTAGTGGCATTTGATATCACCGTTTTAGCAAAGAACTCCTTCCCATTTGATAACCTCACCCCAACCTGGAGTACAGAAGTTATCAGCTAAGATACAAAAACCCAATAAGTCCAGGTATTTAAGTCAGTAAGATAACTCACAGCCTTTCCATTTTCAAGAATAACATTGGTTACATTCGCTTTGTAACGGATTTCACTGCCCTTTTCAACAAGGCCATCTGCCAGGGATATTGCAATACCACCAACGCCACCAACTGGATAATTAATCCCCCCGAAGTGCCTATCGCACAAGACCTGTTATATTGGCATTGAGATAACAGAAGCCCAAATGAATTGAAATGAAGATCCAGAAGATCAAGATTGAACTTACCATGCTTGCATTTATCATGGGTGTTTTCAAGGCATTGACTGTGCTCACAATAAAACACTACAAAAACAATTAATAATCATCAGCCTTCGACTAAACTAGTATTGACTGAAGATCACATGCTCCAAAGAGGAAAACTTGAAAAGTGAATCAACTCACAAATCTCTCACACCTCAGCATCTATGAAGGAGAGTAGCTCTTGATCTTTTATGAGCTTGCGAGCAATATCCCCAGCATTCTGTGGCAAATAATAAGCTGAAAGGGAGATAGACCTGTGACTTTTATTGTAAATATGATGTACTATTCAAAAAAAAAATCTCCAACACACAGCAAATAATTCTTACAATTTTTGTGAGAATGCTTTTGCTTCATATTAATTTAGCTAATTCCTTGTGTAATTTCTCTATAGAGTGTAAATAGTACATTTTTCAATTTGAATACAGGGCTGCAGTCTATATACCTAGAGTTAAGCATTCCAGAGGCTTCTGGAAAAATTGCCCAAAAAGGTAAAGGGGCTCCTCTAGAGACTTCAGCTCCAACGAATTTAGTGAATTGAAGATCTGTTGAAATGTGATTGTTAGACAATCATTGTAATTTCTAACATTGCACTATCAACTATAGCACAAGAGTACAAGATACAGGTAAGAAACTGAAGACAGTACCTTCCAGCATGTATCGTAGAATTTAAGGATCCCTTCTTTCTCATGAGGGAATTTGCTAATCAGTTCGTTGATGAAGTCTTCATACTTTCTATGCACAAGGACAGAGAGATCACCAGGTAGGTGGAAATGAACTGTAGAAGGGTCAGGTAGAACTTCCATCTTACGCCCAACTGCTTCCAATGCTTGTGTGATCAAATTCAAATTACCCTGCATAACAGCATGTCATACTGATTAAAAGTTGTAATGGGTGGTTATATAAGAAGCGATAAGACCAACACTACTATCCTAACCAGTCGAGCACCATCCGACAGTAACACATGCACATCTGTGGCCATTAGCCCACCTACTCGTGCCAATTCGCTGAATCGCTGATGAGATAAACGTGCATGACCCTTGAACCAACAATGCACACTAGTGTGCATCATGCAGTGCACGCCACTCTTGACACTTAGGCATGCATATTAAGCACATTTGAGGCGCAATATATAGTATGGCCTTCACTTCCATCAGGTTTATCCAGATGGCACAGAGCAGCCGCAGAGCAGAGGAAACTGCAGACTACCTATCGCAGTTTGCAGCTGAGCAGCCCAAAACCAATCGCAATCACCAAGCAGCAAGCTCTCCAGAGCATCGCAACCTCAGCAGTCAGCACACCTGAACACGAATTCCCACTCCCCAGAA